GTTCAGGTTTGACTTCAGTTTCTTCTTCAATCTGAGGTTCCCGACGTCTTGGGATACCGTCCTTCGAACCAGAACTTGGCCCGGAGGCCACCATTGGCTCTTCATCGGGGTCAAAAGGTTGAGCTGGTACTTCTAACTTACTATCAGGCTGAATTGTTTTCTTGACAATCTTCTTGGAATCAGGCTTGGCCGATTTCGGCACCTCTGCAGGCTTAGGCTCTGATCCTTTGAATCTCTTGCAACCTTCTTTGTTGGTGTGTGGTCGATGTTTACCATTGCATGCTGGGCATGTGATGTCTTCGGACTGAAAGCTGTACATCGGTTTCCAACTGGAAGTAGCAAGAGCCATAATGTCAAGGACTGGATGGTTGGATGTACTGACCGCCAATGCGGTGCGTTGCATTCCAAACAGTGGACAAGTCATGAACTCACCTACAGGAGTGTGCTCAATGTTCATGCGAAGATTCCTCATTTGTTCAACTGAAAAGAGGATAGGAACCTTACCTTTGTCCAGGATGTCAACGCATGTTGTGATCCAACCAGTTTGTGCACGATCATTGCGAAAATGAATCACTAACCTTTCTTTGACTGTAGATTGTTCTCCATTGGCACATGAAAACTTACTTGAACACGGTTGCTTAGAAAACCAAATGTGATCACGCTTGGGATGTTGTTGGCAAGCCTGTACAAGGCGTTCAATGGCAAAGCGGGATCCCATGGCTCGAGTGCAACCTGAGTCAAGGATGACATAAGTCGGATGAGAACCTAAATCTACATATTCACAAAGCAATGCTTGTTGGGCACCATGATCATAATTTAGGAATACACACTCTTCCGTAGAGACGGAATCGAGCGGGCTTGTGCGCGGCTGAAACGAATGCAGATCACCGTTTCCGGTAGAAACACTCTTCTCAACTTGGCGAATGCTCCTCAATAGGGACCTGTTCAAATCAGAAAAGCACTGGTACATCACAGACACGAACAGAAGCACGAATGTGAGGGCCTCTACAAGTTCGTGTCCGAACAATCGGAACAAGCGGATGCCTGAAAAACAGAACCGGTTGATCTTGTCGGTCTGTCCGTCCTCGAAATTGACGTCTGAATGCTTGTCCTCGGAGTCGGTCAGTTCCTCAGCGGAAGCAAAATACGACCAATTGTACCAATCACCTTGGGAGTAATCTCCGTCATATCCATAGTAGGATTCATAACCTGACCAGTCATCTGTCCAGTATGTGTCATAGTCGTAACTCCAGCTTTCTTCGGCATGGGCTGTTTCTTGTTTTTCAGGGGCATGTGATGCACTGGATGATGCAGCCTGTGCTACATTAGCTTGTGGAGGTTGTGACAAAAATGGATTGGTTCCTCCTTTGTTCTTCGCATCACTTTTTCCTTTTCCTTTCCATGAAGGCATTCCTTTGAAAGAATCCTTTCCTTTCATCATTCCTTTCTTGCCCTTTTTACCTTTTCCTTTGCCCTTGCCTTTTCCCCAGAAAGCCGTGTCTTGCTGGTCATCTTCCCATGCTGCAAAACCTTTGCCTTTTGACCTCGAGCGGAAGCCGGGTCTTGATTTCTTTCCTCCTTTCTTGCCATAACCTTTTGGTCTACCTTTCTTGAAGGACCTGCCGTAGATGCGGCGCTTAGAGTATGAACCCTTGGCGCTGAGAACCCAGAACTCGTTCTCCGTGTACAGACCTGTGAAACCTTCTTCACCCGTCTCTTCATCGAAAACCCAAAATCCGTACTCACCTTCTTCGGTCTCGCCCTCGTCGATGACGTAGGAGTTGGACCGCTTGCGGTGCGTGATATTTGGGTCTGCAACACCTGTGCGGGAAACGGCAAAAAGTTCTAAGAACAGCTGTTTCACTTGGAGATAGGTGCATTGAGGCATTGCAATCTGACGGATGTTCATGGACGAGACAAAGCGCTCTCGCTGTTGCTCGTTGAGGTCTGCTTGCACTAGAAAAATCAGTGACATCAAATTGTCTGACAATGGAAACTGCTGTGCGTGTCTGGTCCTTCTATTGGTTATGGTCTGTTCTCTCAGTTCTTGTTGATAAGCTAGCTTATCTTCATCTGTTACTATTCCATTATAGTGCAGTCTTTGCTCATCTGTGAGTGCTGCCGTAAATGCCTGAGTGCCTGCCTCGGGGAGATCGGATATGTCCAGCAGATCGGACCAAGAAGCCAACAAACGCTTCTGCGCGATCTCAAATCGCCCTATCCAGTGCACGAATTCACTCTGGCCTCGATATGTGCGAAACATCTGGAGGAATCGCCAAAGGAACACATGATTTACTCCCTTCACGAAGTATGGTCTCAATGTGTCCTTGAAATGAGCGAGGCCACGATCCGGATCTCGGAGTAGGGCATTATCGAGCATCGACTTATAAAAAGAAGCGGAACCAATGAGGGCATTCTTTAATGATGGTCCGTGTTTATCTGCATCCAATGTTGTGATCCCTAACCAGTCATCAATTAAATCTTCATATTCAAACCAGCTTGATTGGCCATCAAATTGGGGTGGAACCTTTGGTGTCATTTTGATGCCCATCCGGTTTTCGGAATGACTGGTGGCGGCATATGCTTCAGGCTCTTCATAAGAGACAATCTGGAGTTGTTCTTCATCTGAATCCATGTTGTGGATTAAGACCATGGCAGCTACTCTAACTTGACCTACAGGTTGCCTCCGCAAGTCCGATATACGGAATGTATGCAGAGAACGGCAGTTCGGCACACAGATCTAGACTTGGCGAAGGCACAGGCTCCGCTACCACTTTGAGGTAGCTTTTCCCTCTATTAGGGGAGCCCTGGAAACCTAAGTAAACACCTGTGGCAAGCGGAAGCGACTACACTCTTTTTGTACACGCGGAATTGCTGCTAGTCTTGAGCCATGCGGAGTGCGCATGAAAGATATGAATTAAGTATACATGTCAACATGCATGAATGTATTGTGAAGACACGTAAACAAAAATAAATCACAGGGGGAAAAGTGAAAATTGCTTAGCTTGGGAAGCCCCAATTGGAAGCATTGTCGAACATGATGTCTTCGACCGGTTTTATGGCGACAAAAGTGTAAAGTACCGTGCTTTGAAGGAAACCATTGCAAAAACATGGAAACACATTCAAAGAACACGGGATTTGGGGGACTATCTAGGCGTCGTTGTCTAGCTATTTGAAATTCCGCAGCTTGGAGAGCCTCCAAGGGAGGGAAAAGTGAAAATTCCATAGCTTGGGAAGCTGTCACGGCGGGGAAAAGTGTCCTGTGCTGCTCTGCTCCTCATATTCCACACCACCCTTAGCCCCTCTCACGGACCGAAATAAACCTGCGGTGTGGGCGGCCACCCCACGCGAAGCGGGGTGAATAAAATGCTGGGGTCTGACCCATTTTATTTTCATTTTATTCTTATTTTTGTTTAAAGGGGCTTCTGCCCCCTCATTTTATTTAGGTACCCCAATGGGGGGTCATACATAACATACATAACATACATAACATACATAACATACATAACATACATAACATACACAACATACACAACATACACAACATACATAACATACATAACATGCAAAACATACATAACATACATCACATACATACCATACATACCATCCATACATACATACATACATACGTACGTACGTACGTACGTACATACATACATACATACATTAATACATTACATACATTACATACATACATACATACATACATACATACATACATACATACATCCATGCATGCATGTATGCATGCATGCACACATACATACATACATACATACATACATACATCCATGCATGCATGTATGCATGCATGCACACATACATACATACATACATTCATACATTCATACATTCATACATTCATACATTCATACATTCATACATTCATACATTCATACATTCATACATTCATACATTCATTACATTACATTACATTACATTACATTACATACATTACATTGCATTGCATTGCATTGCATTACATTACATCACATTACATTACATTACATACATACATACATACATAGCTACCTACATAGCTACCTACACATCTACTTATGCCCTTTTATGCATATAGACATTCATATGTACACTTTGAGTTCAACATGCTCATGAAAGAATACGGTGCAGCTGATAGTAAGGTACGTGCCAAATTCTGACAGTCTCCACTAATCCTTTTCCAGAGACTGGATGACACCGTAGGGCAAGAGGCTTTTGAACTATGCAAAATCCAAGGGGTAAGCAATAGCCGGAGCAAATACCCAGAAATAGCAGAACTGGGAGGCACATGACTGTCACACCTATAAAAAGAAAGACTTGAGGCTTAGAAAGGAGACAGTCATCCATGATGGCGCGGCCAAATGGGGAGACAAATTGCGGAGCTTGAAGTTGCACCGCAGCAGAAGGACGAGCTGCCCAAAACAAAAATGAATTCTGATGACAGGGTGAGAAAAAGCACAGGCGCACCTCCGTAAGGCCCTGGACTGCCAAAAGAGTTGTGGCCGGCCATGACTCAGATCACATGCGGGCACGCATGACGCAATGAGAGCGCCGATGACGATCAAACTTGCTACAAAGCAAAGTGGCTAGCCCAGAGTGCTTTGCAGTTGCTAAGCAACTGCCAGCCAAGCGATGCCCAATCAAACCGTCGCGGCTGCAAACCAAGGTGCAGACCACTCTGAAGCCCATGGCTTACACGCTGGTAACAAGCACTTCACATCATCCGGCAGCGCATAACATCATCGGGGCGTACTCCGGCGTCACAAATCAAACAACACTAGGGAAGATCCTTTTTGAGGCAAAGAAGTGTCCAGATGCCCTCCACCGTAATATTCGTCTGCTCACAGGTGTAAACCTGTGTGTATATACAAATGCATGTATGTCTACAAATGTATATATACGTATGTATACATATATATATATATGCATGCATATAAGATACATGTCGTGTGCAATATACATGGACATCAATTCAAATCATCCCACCGTGAGATTCTGAATTCCGGGCGCAGTTGGGGACTCAGATTTTCAAGTTCCAGCAATAAATGCAGGTCTGAGGCATGAACAGGCATTGAGTGGTGCTCATGACCGATTTTGATGCCTTCACTCTTCCGTTTTTTTTGAAGATTTTGGCTCTCAAACGTGGTGAAACTCTTTTTCCCTCTGAAGGCCAGGCTGGTCCTTGGAGATCTTGGAGAGCAGAAGATGGTCTACATTGTTTTTTCATCATGCATCGTCTGTGTGATGCACAGACCACATGTTGTTTCCGAACAACACGTGTGTCACATGGGCCAAGGAGCTTTGTTTGATGCCATTCACCATAGAATACAGCAGGAAAGTCTGTCCCATCGTTGCGCAAACATGACTGCAGTGGCTGCACCAATGTTTCACGATCCTGGCTGCTCCATGCTGTATAACGCTTCCAAAATTCTGATTCTATCCACTCTTCGCCACTGAGAGCTTTGCGGCAAATCAAAGAAAACTTAATGAGCAAAGAGTCCGGCTGCAAAAAGATGATGTGTGACCTTGGCCAGCCGGAACACAAGCGGAAACTATTCTTCCTAGAGCAGGCTATTGCCTAGCACCAAAGAAGAACGCACTAAAACATACAAAAGTTGTGGTTCCCGGCTCAGGATAGACAATGGCTAGTTTCATACTGAGGGAGAGAGCAACGACCTTTTAATGCCGAAAAAATGTACCATGTGTGTGTGTCTAAATATTTATACATATGCAAATGTAAATATATACATATGCAAATTTTTATGTACATACATACATGCGTACATACATACATACATACATACGTCCATACATACGTACATACATACGTGCATACATACGTAAATACATACATACATACATACATCCATGCATACATACATACATACATACGTACGTACGTACGTACATACAGACTTACAGGCATACAGAAAAACAGGCATGCAGGCATACATACATACATACATACATACAAACATAGCACAAGAAAACATTACATTACATTACATTACAGTACATTACATTACATTACATTGCATGACACTACATTACATTATCATATCATTACATTAGATTACATTACATTACAACATACATACATACAAAAAATAACGTAACATATCATTACATTACATTTACATTACCATTACATTTACATTTACATTTACATTACATTCATACATACATTACATACATGACATACATTACATACATTACATACATTACATACATTACATACACTACATACACTACATACATGCATACATAACGAAACATAACATAGCATAACATTACCTTACATTACATACATACATTACATACATACATACATGCAGACATACAGACATACAGGCATACAAACATGCAGGCATACAGGCATACATACATACATACATAACAAAAGAAAACATTACATTGCATTACATTAAATTACATTACATTACAACATACATACATACATTACACTACAGTACAATACATTAGATTACACTGCATTGCATTGCGTTGCATTGCATTGCATTACATACATACAAACATACCTACCTACCTGCCTACATACCTACATACCTACATACCTACATACCTACATACCTACCTACCTACCTACATACCTACAGACCTACAGACCTACAGACCTACAGACATACAGACATACATACATACATATATATTTTTTTACACGCACATTTATACGTGTATGTATATTTATATATGTCTATCTATCTATCCATCTGTCTATCTATCTCTCTCTCTCTATCTATCTACCTACCTACCTATCTATCTATCTATCTATAGAATATAGATGAACTTTGGCGCAGGCCGAAGAGGTCACTTTACAGGCACAGCAACATTGAGTCGAGAAAGGTCGAGAAAATCAAATATTCATGGTGTCTCTTCAAAGCTTGGACAATTCCTCAAAACAACAACACGACTGGACATGCTTGGCACTTGCTGCATCTTATTGCTGCAAGGGCTGCTGGCGGACATCACCAGGAGAAACGCGGTGGACCAGCGCTGGCACCTGCTTTCTCGACAAAACGGTGTAACATCTCATGTGCTAACTTGTTGCGTTGAATGCATTGACAAAAGCAGTGTGTTCTTTACTCGGCGCCATAAGGCCCATGAGCAACGATTTTGGATGTTTCCTTGCTAAATACGATTTTTTTGGTTCCATTGCGGTATCAAGCAGCATAATGGCAACCAAGACCTGCTTCCAAAAAAAAAACTGTATATGAATGTATACGCACATGTAAATGTAAAGGTATATGCATATGTTTATGTATATGGCAAGCGCGCGACAAAGCTGTGTCTCTCCACCCTGGCTCCTGGGGCCTCTCCGTTCGTCAAGATCTCCAGCATATCTCCAGCAAATAGAACAGCAAAGCCTTGGAATGTCTGAAGCAAATACCCCAAGAGAATCTGCGGCAATCTGCTATTCGCATGGTCAGGCATCTCGCAAAAAAAAAAAATCATCTGCCAAAATATCCAAGGCTAAAGTAATCCTGAATCACTACATGGGACCCGCATGCATCTGAGTTCCGTCTACAAAACATATCTTTGCACACATATACATAGACAGATATGTAGATAGATAGCTAGATAGATAGATAGATAGATAGATAAGGAGGATAAGGTAGAAAGGTAAATAAGGTAGATAAGATAGATAAGGTACATAAGGTAGATAAGGTAGATAAGGTAGATAAGTTAAGGTAGATAAGGTAGATAAGGTAGAAAAGATAGATAAGATAGGTAATAAGTTCGATAGATAGGAAAAAAGGATAGTAGGTAGGTAGGTAGATAGATAGATAGGTAGATAGATAGAAAGATAGATAGATAGATAGATAGATAGACAGATAGATAGATAGGTAGCTAGATAGATAAGATAGATAGGTCGGTAGATAGATAAGTAGATAGATAGATAGATAGATAGCAAGATAGATAGATAGGTAGATAGATAGATAGGTAGATAGGTAGATAGATAGACAGACAGATAGGTCAGAAAGGTCAGAAAGGTAAGATAGTTACGATAGATAAGATAGTTGCGATAAAAAGACAGATAAGACAGGTAAGAGAAAATAGAAGATAGATAGGGCAGAAAGAAAAGACAGGTAAGATAGATAAGAAAGCTAAGACAGACAAGACATATATAGGAAAGGAAAGATAGATAAGAAAAATAAGGGAAAATAAAATGGATAAGATGGAAATAATGGGAAAGATGGATAAGATGGATATGATATGACGGATAAGATGGATAAGATGGAAAAGATTAATAAGATGGATAAGATGGAAAAGATAGATAAGATAGAAAATGTAGAGAAGATAGATAAAATAGAAAAATAAGATAGATAAACAAGATGGATAAGACAGATAGCTCGATAGATAGAAAGATAGAAAGATGGATAGTTAGGTGGTAGATGGATAAATAGACAGGTAGAAAGATAAACAGACAGATGGACAGATAGAAAGAAAACCTAGAGATCGATAAGACAGGTAAGATTAATACGACGGATGAGATAGATAAATTAGAACAATCGATATGTCTGAGACATGCAAGCCCTCCCTCCATGCAAGTTGCGCACTGTTTTGCGCTTTGGCACTGGTCTGCCCTATCTTTGGCAGCTGTACTGATGGGTTCCATCCCATCTTTAATTATTTCTTTCTTCTGCCACATCTTCACTGATGTGGCTCCTGTCTCTGAAGTTCCATGTCTTGCGCCCATTCTCTGGCGCCGATGTCACACGTGTACAAGTGGAACTTTGGCTCAGATGGTTTCAAAGGGATGAGGTGGGTGGGTAGAACTCAGAAACCAGCTTGAGCCAAAATTGGCACTGGTCCTGAGTCCCACCCTCCACCCTAGAGGTCAGACATCTCTTGTTAGTCAGCATTGCACGCTTCTCAAACCTCCCTTTTGAGGTTTGCAGGCTCTGCCATCACTGGCTCCACTGCCTGTTCGTCATCTCCCTCAAAGTCAGGGGACGACGCGTCTGACTCTGCGGCTTCCTTGGACCCCTCCATCATCAGACGGAGGGAGAAAGCCCTGCGGCCAGAGTGGCTGCGGAATTCAAGTGACTGAGAGCCTGCTCACTGATGCCATCAAATCAACTGCAACAAAGTTTGTTTCGTGTGCCGTTTCAAGTTGAAAACAAACCACATCAAACCTTCAAATCACCTGCACGTTTTTTTACAACCCAAAGAAATTTTGATGCAACTGTTTCCCAAGACTGCCAGGCTGTCAGCGACATGTGCCTCTGGATGCAAATTGTTTTTCCCAGTGACGTCGCTTCAGGCTCGGCAATCTGCATCTCTATGAGATGGCGATAAACAAATTCTGCACTTGTGGATCCGTTTCACAGGCCCTTTACAGTCTCCCCCGGGCGGCACCTCAGCGCAATGGCCTTTGCCCGACGCCCAGCTGAAGCACAGTTCCAGACCCGACTGGTCCTTCGATTTTCCTTTCCCCTTACCTTTGGGGCTTCCCGGACTCTTTCCACCGCTGCTTGTAGCCGTGGATCTGTGTCTCGCCCGTTCCTCACGTTCAGCTGTCAGCTTACGTTTTCTGGCCTGTCTTCTGTCCCGATTGGCCTGGGTCCTACGTGTGTCTGTCTGGGGCACCGTTGTCTCCTGTTCCATGGACATCGCTTTCTGGCCACCCTGGATCACCTCTAAGACCGCTGCCTCCTGTCGGCGCGCCCCTCCTCCCCTGCCGCTGTCCATGCCGCAGCCGGGTGGTGGACACGCTCGGCCCAGAATTCCATGTCTGAAGCTAACTGCATGAACACACAAGACCAAGGCCTTGAGGGATCCCAGTCTCGTGGCACTTGTCTCTGCTCTGTTGGGCTGCTTCGATGGTCAGCCTCCTCCTCGTTCTCTCTAATCTCTCGGCTCTGGCTGAATCATCAGCCGTGTAGATCAGCCCCCAACAGCGGGGCCATTGTGTCACTGCCTCGAGTGCAGCCACCGTGCAAATGTTAAGCATCAGACAGGCCACCTTGAACACCTGCCATGATGCTTTCCACGCTCCATGCGTTCCTGGTCCAGGAAGATCTTTCTGAAGGTAGGACCCGTCTCCAAGAGGTATGAAAGTCCTGCGTTTCTGAATGCGGCTCATCCTCCTCTCAAATGGGGTCCAAACCGAGAAATCACAGTAAGGGGCTCGGTTCTCCACATACACCTTCTTGTGCAACGCTGTCAACTGCGAAGCTGTAGGTTCTTCAGCTTCATCAGGAGGGGCCCCCATGATCACTTTGAAGTTCTGATACCATTTGTCCACCTCCGATGCGTCAGGCGGCAACAACTCTGACTCGTCCTGCTGGTCTATGAGGCTACTCATCTTGAGTACCCTCTCTTTGACTCCACTTGAAGTCCTTGCCTGAGGTTCTGGTCGAACTATGTCTCCTGAGGCACCTTCAGACTCGCGCCACGGGCCCACGTCTTTGAACTCTGTCTCGCCCCGGACTTGAAGGCTATCACCCTCCTCGCCAGTCGCCATACTAGGCCCACCTGACTCGCCTGGATTGGGGTGTAAGGCCCTTGTGCCGTCACGGCTGACCCACACCCCGCTACTAAGGCTACCTGCGGTAGCGAGGCTAGGAGCCGGAGGTCGGCCCCCGGGCTCCCAACCTGCACTTCGAAAGCACGCCAAACTGGCCCCTCCACATTGAAGTGATCCAGCAGGTCGTCAATGCTATTGAGGTCTCGCATTGACTCCCAGCTGCCAAACAAGGCCGCCATGCGACTCCCGACTGCTTGGGGCACCTACACTTCTCGATTTGCGCGTGTCATCCAGCCTAAGGCTAGAACTCAGAAACCAGCTTGAGCCAAAATTGGCACTGGTCCTGATTCCCACCCTCCACCCTAGAGGTCAGACATCTCTTGTTAGTCAGCATTGCATGCTTCTCAATAAATTAGATAAATTAGATAGACAGACAGACAGACAGACAAATAGATAGATAGATCGATCGATAGGTCGATAGATAGATCGATCGATCGATAGATCGATGGATAGATAGATAGATAGATAGACAACTAGACAGATAGATAGATTAGGTTGATAGATAGATAGATAGACTGTCTGATTGATAGGGTGGTAGGTAGATCGGATAGATTGGATAGATCAGATAGGTAAGGTGGATAAGATAGACTAGAAAGATAGACAGATAGATAGGTAGAAAGATAGTTAGATAGATAGATTGGTAAGATTGAAAAGATATATAGATAAGATAGATAAGATAGATAAGGTAGATAAGGTAGATAAGGTAGATAAGGTAGACAAGGTAGACAAGGTAGAAAAGATATATAGGTAAGATTTGTATAGATAAGATATAGATATATATATATAATATATAGATAAGATAGGTAAATAAGATCGATATATAGAAAAAAAGATAGCAGGTAGATAGATAGACAGATAGACAGATAGACAGATAGACAGATAGATAGATAGATAGATAGATAGGTAGGTAGGTAGGTAGATAGACAGATGACAGATAGATAGATAGATAGATAGGTAGATAGATAGATAGAAAGAAATCATTGACATGGTAGAATCATGGCTGACTGAAGCAGTGAGTAAGTGAATGAATGAATGAATGAATGAATGAATTGAATGAAATGAATGAATGAATGAATTGAATGAATGAATTGATTGAATGAATTGAATGGATGAATGAATGAATGAATGAATGGAATGAATGAATGAATGGAATGAATGAATGAATGGAATGAATGAAATGAATGAATGAAATGAATGAAATGAAATAAATGAAATGAAATGAAATGACATGAAATGAAAATGAAATGAAATGAAATGACATGAAATGACATGAAATGACATGAAATGAATGAATGAATGAATGCATGGATGGATGGATGGATTGATTGAATGAATGAATGAATTGAATGAATTGAATGAATTGAATGAATTGAATGAATTGAATGAATGGAATGGAATGGAATGGAATGGAATGGAATGGAATGGAATGGAATGGAATGGAATGGAATGGAATGGAATGGAATGGAATGGAATGGAATGGAATGGAATGGAATGCATGAATGCATGCATGCATGCATGCATGAATGAATGAATGAATGAATGAATGAATGCATTCTGCATGAACGCATGAACGCATGAATGCATGAATGCATGAATGGCTGGATGGGTGGATGGGTGGATGGATGGACGGAGGGTGGATTAATGAAGGAGTGAAAGGGTGGATGGATGAATAAGCAAATGAATGGAGTGAGTGGGTGGGCGAATGTGGGAGCAAGTCTGTAAGGGAGTGAGTGGGTGAATGAAAGAATGAAAGAATGAAAGAATAAAAGAATGAAAGCATGAAAGAACGAAAAAATGAAAGAATGAAGGAATAAAAGAATGAAAGACTGAAAGAATGGAAGAATGAAGGATGATCGAATGAATGAAACAGAGTGAAACAGTCAGCGAAAGAGTGCAAGAGTGCAAGGGTAAATGAGCGAGTCAGTGAAGCAATGAATGAGTCAATGACAGCAGGAAAGAATCAATGGATCAATGAATGAATCAACCCACCTCTTCGATGCGGTACCGCTTCTCTCAGCGACTTCTTCTCTGAGCAGCGTCTTGTCTAGGCTACTTCTTCTCTGACCCGCTTTTGGGCTGAGCTGCTTCCCTTTCTCAGCTACCTCTTCTTGAGAATCTGCAACCCATCTTCTCCTCGCGCTGCCAGCACACTGCATTTTGCAAATTGCAGCTGCGCTCCCACGTAGCGCAAGGCCGCACTATGCTCAGAAACTACCTACTGCGCAGCTGTTTCAATGCGTTTAGCAACCTCCAGCTACAATCCCGCATAGCAGGAGCGTCACAACCTGTCTGCGGGCAGCCATGCCAATACGTTTTTTTCACACCGGGTTTCAACCCCGCAAAGCACGGACGCGCCATCGAGACCGCGCCATTTCGGACCAGAAATCGCTGGCGCACACATCCGGCGCTACTTGGATCCCCTCAATTTGTTTGTGGTGTTTCTGTGAAATCGAACTCAGTCCCGTGCACCTTTTCCGACTTCATCTTCCAAAAGTGCTCCGGCCGTCACTTTTTCTAACTCTAACATGTTGAACTGCAAACCCAGCTCTCGCTACAGTCTCGTGCGCTTTTTGTTGGCAACTTTCCCAGATCGAGGCCCGCAAGCGCAGAAACACAGACCCTACGCGACCCGAGGAACCACCACCCGTAAAGACGCAGGATTTCATGCCCAACTGTGGCACCCGCCAATTCCCCCCCCGAAACTGCTGTATACTATCCTCTACTGTTCCCACCTGCGAACTGCTATGGTTGACATGAATCGTCGATAAATTGTATACTTGAACAGGTATAACGCATGTGCGCGTGCATGCATACATGCATGTAACGGTAACGAATGTATGTATGTGTCTGCATATGTAATTGTAATGTTAGATGCGCTGTACACCTACGTTCGTATGTATCTGAATATGCACATCTACATGCGCATGTACCTGTCTATGTGTATGCGTATGTACATCCTTTATGTGTGTATATGCGCGTGTGTGTGTGTATGCATGTACATGTGTGTGTGTGTGTGTACGTGATTGTACGTGTATGTAAATGTTACGTACGTGTATGTGCGCCATGCAACGCAACGCAGAGTGGAAGTGCAACGCACATACGGCAATTCGAACCAATCCAATCGAAATTGCAAACGATGCAAGCTGCGCAATCGTAGATGTAAAGGTATATGACTGCACATGTAATGCAACTGAAGCTGTTTTGCAGATATCGTGTACACGTCATGCAAGAGGAATCTAAGTGCAGATGTATTTCAAATGTATTCGAAATGCAAACGCAGCGTGCATGTAAACAAAATGCACATTAAGAATGACAAGTAAATGCAAATGCAGGGTACGCTGCAGACGGAAACGCAGTGTAAACTTGAATGCGATTGCGAATGCAAATGGAGTTGAACACGTAAATAATGCGAAGGAAATGAAAATCCAACTGCATTGCGAACAGAGTGACAATGTAGTGCACATATAACGTAAATGCAGTGTAGAGATAAGAAAATGTAATGCGCTTGCAATGCACATTTAGTGCACATGTAATGCGACAAATGTAGTGCATATGTGTCTGCAACAGGCTGCATTCCCCTGCATTCACACGTGCGCATCCATGAACAGCAGGCCTCGGTCCCAGTCAGACATACTTTTCCCGGACTGGAAAATAAGTCAAAATTTTGGACTCGTTGCAAGCCAATCTTCGGCCACTTCTTGAAATTCACGCCAAGAGACCGCTCGGTGGCTCTAAAGGTTGCCAAAACCCACGTGAATAAAATTCCAGGCCAAGGCCTGTGCTTTGCTGGAGCGTCACAACGCCTTGCAGCTGAGGAACACGCGTGGTATCTACCGACCATGCTTAATCCAAATTGCCGGTTTGGATGCTTTCGTATCTGGACCAGAAAGGCTTTGCCCCATTAGCATCCATTCGCTGGTTTCCGCCTTTCCCCACTGTCCCCACTTGCTTTTGCAAGACCAATCTAGCTCGGTGACAGAACAGAACTAGTCACATCCCATCATCCCATCACACCATGACTCTAGACATAACCAAGGCCAGCTCAGCCTCAGTCAAACAAAAAAGTCAGACAAGACGCCGTAGTCTGTGTGTTCCGCGCAGGATCCTTCTGCTGGATAGACACTGTGGCCTTGACAAAAAAAGGTACTCGATTTCCCGAGGACCGGAAAGTATACTGGCAGAAAAGCTGCCCAAACCGTCAACATGTCGACCTGAAAGAAATATGAAATCAAGAACAACTAGACGTTTGGTGTCTTTCTTGTCTTTTCTGTTTTTGGTTGGCTGAAGCTCTGTTTTGTCGTCACTGCGTGATGAAATTTCGAAGTGGTGTAGAAACATGTGTACCTTGCGCACAGGTGTGCAAAAGATCTCGGGCTGTGGTCACATGGAGCGCAATATCTTTTGCATCTCAGACGCGTAAGCGGCTCCCGGCCCAGCTCTCGCAATCCGACAAGACCTGGCACGGCAAGGAGAAGCGGAAGAACAAATAAGGGTGTACCACCAGGTGTCAAGGAGCGCGCACACACACATGCATATGTACGCGCATGTATGCATGTTTATGTGTATGTACGTATGAATTTGTAAACATATGCATGGTCATGTATGTGTTTGTATGTTTGCATGCATGCATGTACCCATGTTTGCATGTGTGAACTTGTGTGTATGACTATCTTTCTATTGTGTTCACGGGAAAGGGTTTTTGTAAGTGTAATTATGTGTGTATGCAGTATGTTGGCTGTACATATGTATGCATGTATGTATGCATGTATGTATGTATGTATGCATGCTTGCATACGGGGAGATATGCAGGAAAGAAATATCGATGTATATATATATATATGAAAAAAAAAGACCTCACACTTCATTTTCTGGGCACAGCAAGACCAATTCTGCCTGAACATGAAATAGGAACAGAGAGATCAAACTCTATTGATCATCAATTTTTTGCCTTTAAACCAAGGGAGCCCAACAGCCGACCCTCCTCGCCATCTCCGAGGAGAACCAACTGGCCTCCCATTACCCCCCAGCATCCCTCGCCAAGCCGAGGTAGCGGGCGTCGGTAATTTGCTGGTTGGATCACCTTCAGATCCTATGATTTTTCAGGAGAACATAGGCAAAAAACGAAAACTGGAGTAAAATTTGGCCAAAAGAAAAGGATTCCTCCAACAGACCCCATTCAGGGCAGGGAGGGTTCGGGCCTTAAACCAAAATGCTATACCAGAATATATTCGTGTTAGTCTTTACCCCCGAAGCGGAGTACCAAAGACTGCACACTTCATTTTCTGGGCACAGCAAGACTAATTCTGTCTGCGCATGAAATAGGAACAGAGAGATCAAACTCTATTGATCATCAATTTTTTGCCTTTAAACCAAGGGAGCCCAACAGCCGACCCTCTTCGCCATCTCCGAGGAGAACCAACTGGCCTCCCATTACCTCCCAGCATCCCTCGCCAAGCCGAGGTAGCGGGCGTCGGTAATTTGCTGGTTGGATCACCTTCAGCTGGTTGGATCACCTTCAGATCCTATGATTTTTAAGGAAAACATAGGCAAAAAAACGAAAACTGGAGTAAAATTTGGCCAAAAGAAAAGGATTCCTCCAACAGAACCCATTCAGGGCAGGGAGGGTTCGGGCCTTAAACCAAAATGCTATACCAGAATATATTCGTGTTAGTCTTTACCCCCGAAGCGGAGTACCAAAGACTGCACACTTCATTTTCTGGGCACAGCAAGACTAATTCTGTCTGCGCATGAAATAGGAACAGAGAGATCAAACTCTATTGATCATCAATTTTTTGCCTTTAAACCAAGGGAGCCCAACAGCCGACCCTCCTCGCCATCTCCGAGGAGAACCAACTGGCCTCCCATTACCCCCCCAGCATCCCTCGCCAAGCCGAGGTAGCGGGCGTCGGTAATTTGCTGGTTGGATCACCTTCAGATCCTATGATTTTTCAGGAAAACATAGGCAAAAAAACGAAAACTGGAGTAAAATTTGGCCAAAAGAAAAGGATTCCTCCACGTCCCCCAGACCTTCTCCAACGGAGAATGCTCAAGCATTTTACCACGGATAACGCTCAGCATTTGTGAAAACACGGCGAAACGGAGCTAGGACTTTAGATGGGATGTTAATTTCAGTCAGAGTAGGCAGACCTTCATTGAGATAGGTGCGCGCCGTTCGTGCCGCCATCCAGCGCCCTTGTAAAAGGATTCTATCAAGGGAACCGTGTGTGGAAAACCAAAAGGTGGCACCACCACCACGCCTGAGGGAGTATGGTCGAAACGTACTCCCACTGGCTCAACCACACAGCTTCCAACCCTTCCGAAAAGGCTTTAAGCCAAGCATGAACTGAGTTGATTAACAGACTACCTGCTGCAGCTTTCTTCCACTGAGCCAACCGACGAGAGACTTCAAAAACTGAGACCGTAACACTTTCAGCCGCCCCAGTCCGTTTTCCCCTTTAGTAAGGCCCAAGCAGATCACCGCGGTATGGGTCTTGTTGTCAACCAAAACATCCTTGTTACGAATGGCCAAAACTTCCCCAGTACGTAACATACCATAGAACCCCAGTTACAGAGAAAGCGCCATTGCATGTTTACGATGGAACAGGAAGTAGCCCACAAGGGTCTTAAGAACAACCTGCGGAAAAGGAGGAGCGCGATTGGGCAGCTCATTAACATGCCAAGTTTTTAACAGTCTCCATGCTGCTGGAATCGCTCCCCGAAGTTTAGGGCTGGTGTTTTGAAGGGAGGCGAGCGTGTCTGAAGCAATAAGTGCTCTCCCCTCACCAGTTGCCCAGAGGTGTTCTAGATATTCACAAAGTGGATGGCATCCAGCTGGGGCATCTTACGCGGCAGTTCCAAATGATTGTCATCAAGCCAGGAAGGTGTAGAACTTCTGTTTTGCTTTGTCATAACGTGCTTTTGTTCGTGGTTGAATCGTAAGGTCATGCGCCCATTTGACGCCTGACTTTGATACGCTCTTGCTTGGTGCGGCCCTCTAACCTCTTTTTACCTTTCCCCATTTTTGCACTCTAAACCGGCGACTTGGCCGGTCTGCATGATTTTGGGATGTATGGACATATGTCCATACAGGATGCAGGTTGGCCTTTAGCAAGAGGGTATTGACCTTCATGATAGTCCGTTGAAGGCGGCGACTCGAACTTCGCCCCCGAGAGAGCGCATGGAGCACCACCAGACTGTCAGTCAAGTGTAGGAACCGGCTGTTCCAGCACCGCTGCTTTTGTATCAACCATCGAACTGTAGTGCACGTTGCCCGGAGCTCTAAGCTATTGATGTGCTCAGGCTCCCTCCCAGCGCCACCCGGCAATTTCTTTCCACTTCCAGAGGCGGGCCGGTATGCTGTTCCGAAGACGGTGGTACTTGACCAGATGTTCCGAGGGCGCCTGGACAAGAAGATCCTCCCCTTTGACCGACACCAGCCCAGTCAACTTACGCGCCAGCCCTTCATCCCAGGAGGCCTCTGCAACACGGCTTGCAAGCTACTCCCCACTCCAGGAGTCAGCCTGTTGACCACCTGCTGAACGGTGACAAACTCCATGAGACCCAACGGGAAGAATACCCAGGAGTGTTTTGCGCACATCCCAATAGCGGTCCCCCACACGCTCTGCTTTGGGAACACACTGTTGTGTATAATTGGCTGGAAACCTCAGCACAACCTCCCGCTCCACCACAGAAGCTACCCGTACCTCTTGATGACGGTGGTGCGCACAGAACTCAAGCTTGTACTGGTAAGGAGGGTACCGATGCATGGGAGTCCTGTCGCCAGCGCTGCAACGTAACTTCATCACAAGTGGCAAGGCCCGCTGTCCATCTGCCCGGAACTGGGTAGTGAATGTAGCCAGCTTGTGGCCAGGAGGCAAGAACCACCCGGGCTCCAAGAAATCCTTCGGATCCAGCGCTGCCGTAAGAGCGATTTGTTGAACCATCCAATGCAGCGGCTTCCATCACGAACCCGTCTTCATCCTTGAGTTCCCAGGTGCGCCAGTACAGGCGAAGCCGGCGGGCCAATGAGACCCCAGCCGCATCCACCCGACAGGGGATCACCCCCACATCTTCCGACATAGCCGCCCGGTCCTCTGCATCCATGGATGCCACGCTTTCCATGAACATATGGACCTGGGCCCGGGGGAAGCACTTCTTCAGGAGGCGGACCACTTGCGAACCTTTTCGGTCCACATTCAATGTGCTAACATCCTGACAAGGCGGGCCTGCTCCCACTAGCAGCAGTCCCACCGAAGAGAACTGACAAGCCCATCCCATAACTGCTTCCATCTGCACATCCTGAATGTTAGGTACCAAAATGGTATACCACGGAATGCGCTTTCCACCACCCGATTTGCTTGTGGGTTACACTCCACGCTCACATGTCCTGCCAAGGGCACTCTCAAAAGATCCACAGCCACCCTTAAGGTGGCGATGCCGTCAAAGAGGCCCACTGTCAGAACCTGGATGTCAACTTGAGGTTCCGCCAACTCTCCCCGCACCAAGCCGGCTTGCGCCGCCACACCGAAGGAGGTGAGACCTGTAGAAGCACATATACCTCCCCCCAGGCTGGAATAGGCTGGACGCATCACTGGCAGTAACCACCAAACTCATGGGAGTTCTAAAGTCCATTTGGGCTAGTGGAATCAAGGCGCAGAACCGCAGGAGTTCAGCTTTGACCTCCCTGGGTAAGCTCACCCGGACCACAGGAGGCTCCCGCTTCAGTGATTCAATGTGGGCCCATACCGCATTTAGGGATGAAAGTAAGGCCCTGCGAAACATTGAAACATACACTAGCCCCCTGGCCACAATTTGCAGCTCCTTCTGAGTAGCATGCCCCTGATGAACAATTTCCCAGGTCAAACCCAGGTACTTCATGATCTTAGAAGGCCGGGCCATTGCAACCCCAGCATCCCCATCTATATAAGCCCCTTGAACCTCAGCCACACGACTCCCTTCCACCGCCTTCTTCGAATTTCGGGGAAGAGCCATGCTGCTGTACTGATGTCGCAAGGCCACCTGAGCAGGCTACGGTCGTCCTTCCACTTCCCCAACCAGTGATCGGTCTACCGTCGGTCTACCTTTCCAATCTCATCCCAGTTGTCCAAATAGACCCTGAACATGCTTTTGGAAATTGTGGGGGGTAAGTCCCGGCGCATCTCTTTCTCCCCTCCCGTTTGGTCAGGAGAACTCCATCGCACCACATGACGGTGTATATTATATGTTGCGCCAATCCCACGCTGTTGACAAATCCCATGGGTAATACCCGTGAAAAAAGGTAGCAAACCTTATCTTTCCAACAGTCAGGGGTAAGTTCAGGAGGTAGTGGCTTGGAGAAGGCCACAAATCTGTGCCAGGATTCTGGAAGTCGGAAAAAATAATAAAAGCATGTCACAACTTCACTGTCATCCAAGTAGAAGGCGCTAAATTGTGCAACACTCGGAAGTGTACCAGTGTCACCCTGGAGTGATCTACATAACCTGTTAACCGGGATCAGGTTCATAATCAACCGAGGAAGTTCCACACTGTCCACAACTTCATTCTTGGAGACAGAAAACATTTCGTTGAGTAAGGGTTGACCTTTCACATGAAAAAGTTCGCTTTGAGGAAGTGCCCCACAAATCCCTGAGGAGATGAGCCCACGGCACACCTGCATTCAGAATCACTAACCATAACACGTGGAGTTCGTCCAATAGTTTGAAGATCCTGTGGTAAAAGATACTCTTCAAAGTTAGCCACAAGTAGTGCTTACAACCACCAGTGCAAAAGGCTTCCAATTCCAAAGAACCTACTTCTCTAGGAAGGGCACCTGCAATACTACGCCAGTTGAAAGCTTGCGCGACATGAATTTCTTCACCACGGTAATCAACACCTCGAACTTTAAGTAATTCTGAAAAAGGGGTATCTGGCACACGTTCATCCCACCCCCACATCCGGTCCAAGAAGGGCATAGCCACTGCTGCCACCTTTTTCTGAGCTTCCGTAGCGCTCGAGGTGGTAGTCATGCCCGCTCCGTACATGGAGCTCAGGCCTATAGAAGAATCGTCGCAAGCCATGGGGCTTTTTCGCTCACCCCAGGATAGCCCTGCAGGGGTAGAGGAAACAAAAAATCCTTTACCTTGGTCAGGGTCTTGCAGTGCCTGGTCCATAAGATCTTCTGCAGGCTATCCAAGAGGTGACCCCCTACATCGGAGAAACGCAGCCCCTGCAAATTGAGCCGCTCACATGCACATCCATCTTGGTTTTGAAAAGCATGCCCAGCTGCCACTTCAGGCAACTTCAAATTCTCCTCAACGGCCATCTCCACCCGGTCCCTCTGCCAACCTTTGTCAGCAGCCGCACCCAGTGGAGTGTAGGGGCCGTGGTCCGCTTAGGAGGTTTGGAGCGCTGCCAATCGTGAAGTGCCTCCTCACCTCCCATACTCCACAGCTTCTCAGCCCCCAGATCTGGTGCCAACCGGCCATCGGGCAACTTTTCGTGATCTCTCAGCCTCTCTTCATTGCATGCGTCCTGAGTAGGGGTCCACCTCAACCCCCTTTCGCTTTCTTCCCGTCGTTCTTCTCGCCTTTGCCTTTTCTCTGATCGCTCTTCCCTCCTTTGCCTTTGCCGCCGCCCTTCTTCCCGCCGGGCCGATTCCAGTCTTCTCCCTTCGGGGCCCCTCCACTGCTCCTCGCTCCAAAGGGCCGGCTGGCCTCTGCCCTGGCTCGTCCTGTCTCTCGAGCCAACCGTGCCGCCTCGTAGAACTCCGACACCAACGACATTGAGGCACCCTCACCAGCTGACCCGGGTACTCGTCGAGGGGGGCGTAGGGTGGCGACCTAGGAGCTTTCAGCTCCCGCCTGGTTCTTGGAGAGGGGCTGGCGTCCCTGCCTGGGCGCACTGGGCTAGCCAACCGAGGCCGCTCACTGGGCCGGCCTCTGTCTCGTCGGCTTCGATCACGAGGGCTTCTTGAGCGGCTCTTCCTTTTGCTTTTTCGGGCTCGGCGTGAACTTCTGGACCTTTCTCGTTTCTACTCACTGGACGCAGCTTCAACCTCTCGATGAGAGGAGGGAGCACTAGGGCCAGGCAACCCCTCTTCCTCTTGCTCTTCTTTCTCCCTCCCCGGTTCTTCTGCCTTTACTTCAGGAGGTGGGGGCCCAATAGCCTTCGAAGCTGCCCCCGGCTGAGGTGGATCAGGAGGAGAGTTGGCACCCTCTCCTCCCGGTGGAGCTTCCTCACCAGCTTTGAGGCCTGGCTCTGAAAAGTTCGTCCGCAGGAGCTCCGCCTCAGCCTGGGGACGCAAGCCGATCCAGCGTCCGGCAGATACAGCACAAACCACCTCCCACAACTTGAGCCACTTGCCCCCGCAGCCGCCAACGCAGGGGGGCATCTACCTTATCCTTAAACCAAAATGCTATACCAGAATATTTTCGTGTTAGTCTTTACCCCCGAAGCGGAGTACCGTGTGAGTGTGTGTACGGAAGGAAAAGGAAGGCAATAAAAAACAACCAGATGATAGATCAAGATGCGAATAAAAAAGAAGATTAATAATGGATAAACATTTAACGACATAGACAGATCGAAAAACTGATCGGAGACCGAAGATCAGATGGATAGATAGATGCACAGCGTATGTACATACATAAATATACATAATATATAGACACGTGTGAAATGCATCTTTGTATGCATGATCATGTATCATCCATGTCTTGGGCTTCGACACTTCTTATTGTCTATAGAATGAACTCAATAACGGTTTGCATCCAGTTTCCGTGGCAACTGTCGCAACTCACCACCTCAGATCTTTCCCGACCGTCAGCTAGCCCAAGGCCTTGGCCACAAGTGTCCCGGATGGCTCCTTCAATGATAAAATTGAATCGATGCGGCCTGAAACTCAACCAAAACTTTGGGAGCCTTTATTTGAACACATACATGTTGGGTCAATTGTCCTTGTGAGCACTGCTGGCAGTTGAAAGCTCTTCCTTTATCAACTTTGCGAGGATCGAAAGCCTCGGATTGCAGCCACCTCTTCAGCAACAGCAAAGATCCGCCTAAGAATCTCCACACCTCACAAAATTGGCCAAAAGCACACACACATCGCATGGCACGCACAGCACCAAAAGCGAAAAGGGATTACGAGGCCTGTTTCCAAAGTCTTCAGGAATCCAACCCAAATCTCCTCGGAAAATGCAAGAACAGCAGGCCTGTCAAGCTAATCACTTAACGCTTTTAGCACAGTATCTCGGTTGCCACTGGTCCCGCCAACAAATCAAGGGACACTTCTAGACCTCAAACTTCATACAACCATGCCACATGCCACAATAAATGCAGACGATACGCCCCAGGCTTTGCTCCGCAGGGCATCTTTGCCCAAACCAAAGTTATAGCGGACATCGGGCGTGTGGGTTTTGCCTTCTCCGACACGCGTTCGCAGCAGGTCTTCACCTTTGGAAAACCGCAGCTGTCGGCTTCGAACAATGCCTCTTTTGTAGAACACTGTGGGTTCTTCTGTGGCTTGTCGCCACAATCGGTGCCAAGCAGGGAAGTCCGGCACACCATCGGGAAATACATCCTCCCTGATTCTGACAAAAACTGCTCCACACACCCGGAGTGCAGCAAGCAAATTTCCACTGCCAGCTTGCCATGGGTCTACGCAAGGCGCAAGCAAATGGCTCAGCGGAGGCGCCGGAGGCGCTGGATGCTGTGAGGTTCTTTTGCGTTTGCGGCCGCCATGAGCCACGGCCTTCAAAGCGCACACATAGAGCCGCATGCAAATGGAAAAAAGTACATGTGTTTATGATATACTATATACATATACATATTTGTGCGTGTGTCTAGTTGAAGAAGTTACGCACATGCATATTCATATAGTCTGGGGCGACAAGCTAACACAAAGCGTATGCGTATGTATAAATACATGAATGTGTATATTTGCATATGCACTGCTAACCCCGCCCAACTCTGCTTGCAATATTCAAAGCTCACTTATCATACCAGGGCAATTGCTGTAGGTTCTCTGGAAGTTGAGTTGAATGAAAAGAAATCAAGCTGCTGACCGGTTCCCAGCGTTCAATTTTCCTATGTTTTACAATGATTTTAGTTTTTGTCTCCAGGACAGAGCATTTCCAAGGTCCTGACAGTTGAGCAGGGTCTTGCTGGTAAATCGGTGTCATGTTTTTTCTCGAAAGCTCCTGCGAAGGGTTCCTTCCAAAGAGCCGCTGCCAATCATCATCTTCATTGTCATCAGCATCTTCTTCTCCTTCATCATCATCATCATCATGAACGTCTACACATCTACCATCTGCATTGATGCAGATGTGTTATAGATACAGGTGCCTAGATGGAGGTGAAACATGGTGAAAGCATCTACATATCTTACACCTCCACGCAGATGTATAGATATATACGGTGTAGGCGGTGGCGCAGTGCAGATCGATGCTTAGGAAACTCACGCAGTTTCGCGCGAAGCGCGCGCCGATCGTAAAAACCCGTATTTTTTTTGCCCGACGGTCTTGGTGAATCCTTCCTGCTCGAAACGCTCGTTGTTTGTGTCGATCGTCCAAAACTGATGTATATAAAATTGGATTTTTTCTTGTGCCGACGTAATCTGTCTGAGCGAACCCGACATTGGGCCACCCCCTTCGTTGAAGGGGGGCTTGAAAGGGGGGCTTAAGGGGGTCACGAAGCCCCCCCATCGCCCCCCACCCACGAAGGTCTGAAGCCTTAAGGGGGGGCTTAAGGGGGGGCTTAAGGGGGGAACTTAAGGGGGGGCCTTAAGGGGGGCTTAACGGGGAGGCTAAGGGGGGGTTTAAGGCGGGGCTTCAAGGGGTGCTTGAAGGGGGCTTGAAGGGTACCCTTCAGAAGGGTACCTTAAGGGCGCTTCGAAGGGTACCTTAAGGGGCCTAATGGGGTGGCTTCAGGAGGGGCTTCAAGGGGGCTTTGGTCGCCCGTTAGTCGCACGGGCGCCGCGGCACTTTGCGGCGCAGGCTTGGCACTTGCTGCATTGACGTTCCATGTGTGGGCAGGCGTGGCACTTGGTAACATTGACGTTCCATTGCGTGGCAGGCATGGCACTTGGCGACTTCTACCTGCGTTTGGCGTGGCGGGCGTGGCACTTGGGGCACTGGGCTGGCTCTGGTGGCCCGCTTGGTCGCCGTTAGTCGCCCGGGGTGCCGCGGCATTTTACGTGGCAGGCGTGGCACTTGGTGACATCGACGTTCCATGTGTGTAGCAGGCGTGGCACTTGGTGACACGGCAGGCGTGGCACTTGCTCACATCCACCTTCGTTTTGCGTGGCAGGCGTGGCGCTTGGCGACATCTACCTGCGTTTGGCGTGGCAGGCGTGGCACTTGGTGACATCGACGTTCCATTTGCATGTCAAGCGTGGCACTTGTGGTGGTAGGGTTTTGGTGGCGCTCTTGGTCGCCGTTAGTCGCCGCGGCACTTTGTGTGGCAGGCGTGGCACTTGGCGACATCCACCTTCACTTTGCGTGGCAGACGTGGCACTTGGTGACATCAACCTTCACTTTGCTTTGCAGGCGTGGCACTTGGTGACATCAACCTTCGTTTTGCGTGGCAGGCGTGGGCACTTGGTGACATCAACCTTCCTTTTGCGCGGCAGGCGTGGCATGGCAGTTGTGGCACTGGGCTGGGTCCGGTGGCGCGCTTGGTCGCCGCCCGTGACGCCGGGGCACTTTGTGTGGCAGGCGTGGGACTTGGCGACATCGATGGTCCATTGGCGTGGCAGGCGCACTTGGCGACATCCACCTTCGCTTTCCGTGGCAGGCCTGGCCCTTGGCGACATCCACCTGCACTTTGCATGGCAGGCATGGAACTTGGCGACATCCACCTACGTTTTCGCGTGGCAGACGCTGGTGGCATGGCTGGGGCCCGTCGGTCACCCGCAGCGCCACGGCGCTTTGCGTGCACTTGGCGGCATCCACCTGGACCTACACTTTGCGTGGCAGGCATGGCATCGACCTTCGTTTGGCGTGGCAGGTGTTGCACAACTTTGTCACACACAACTCGCACAGAACTTTTTCACACACATCCCTCTCACACACAACTTTGTCACCCACAACTTTGTCACACACAATCTTTCACACACACATCTCTCTCACATGCAACTTCTCTCTCACACACATCTTTGTCACCCACAACTTTGTCACACACAATCTTTCACACACACACACATCTCTCTCTCACATGCAACTTCTCTCTCACATGCAACTTCTCTCTCACACACACATCTTTGTCACACACAACTTTGTCACACACAACTTTCTCACACACAACTCTTTCACACACAACTTTGTCACACGCAATCTTTCACACACAACTTTGTCACACACACACAACTTTGCCACACACAACTTTGTCAAACGCACAGCTTTGTGACACACAACTCTTCACATACAACTTTTAAAATGATCGATCCGCCACCATCTCCTTTGTCCTTTCTTCCTTCTCCGTGCCGCTTCAACCACTTTTTCTGATTATTGGAAGAAGTTGACTTGTGGGGTTATCCGGTCCTTTAATGTGTTTTTTGCGAAGTTTTGTTGTGATTAGTTGAACGAATGTGGCATTTCTGGGTTCCTATCACGATTCCTGACTTCTATTTGCACCGCTCAACAACATGTTGAAATCTCCTGGGGAAAGGCCCACGCATTTTTCCCTTGGTTGACATGCTCGGGTAGGGGGAACTTTCCCAAAATCTACGATGCTGCAAACTTTTCCTTGAAGCCTGTAGCTTATATAGCCCTGTTACCTTTGAGACGATGACATTTCAGCGCTGACAAGACTGACTCCGAACTAGGGCGGCGATAGACACAAAAAGGCGATAAAATGCTCCTGCCTTCCATCTTAGATCTTTTTTACAAGCAATGTCTTCGACGGTGGAATTCTTCTTTCATGAAGCAGACCGCACCAAATGTTACTAGCCCCCACCCAACCCGCCTCCCATGTTTATACAGGAATTTAAGGCTAGAACTTCCTGGAAGCTCCGGGGAACCTTCGGCATTGAGCCTCATATCATACCAACAGCCCCGCATTTTGAGAGCTTTAGGCATGCAAAAGGCTGGCAAACGCCCCACCCACGCACCCAGAACTTCCTCACCCGCACCTGACCCACTTGCGCACCTTTCACCTCACTTGCGCACCTCAAACTCACTTGCGCACCCAACCTGACCCTTCAGGATCGCTGTAAATACTGGTGTGTGCTTGATACAAGACTCACTTGCACACCTTCACGAACATTTTCAAAAGGATGGGGGGCACGGACGAGGTCAGAACAGGCGTGAGACATTGCACAACAAGATACGAAGTACCATGCAGATCATGCAGTGCCGTTGCTGTGACAATATGAAAAGCTCTCTTGGAGCTGTTGAGCACACGCCTTGCCCCGACACGCCGTCACCGTCACAATTTCATCGTCTCGAAGCACTTGACGCAAAGGCTCACAGGGCGGTAGTGCAAAGCCACCAATGGAGCAAACTAACTCGACATCTCGGATCAAAGCAAACCTGGAGAACAAGTATGTCTACTCAAAGGCATGACCTCATCTGACTTATCTGCATTGAAAAGCAGTGCATATGGCAAAAACCAGATGGCCCACTTGGCCTGCTTCCAACCTCCTCCAGAAAACTGTCCACAGTGGAATTCGCCGGGTAGCGCAACAAATATTGCGAAGTACCAGCTACGATCCCGCTACCTCGTGGCACACTAGCGAAATCTGTCTCCGGGTATCTTCCTGCTACCTGCCTCTCTTTTTGCATAAAAGGGACGTCCACACTCTTTAGATTAGATAGTAAGTAGGATTTGTTTCAGTGCCATGTGTGTGTGTGCACCCGGCGATGACTGTCCAACATCCTAGGGATGCACTTCTCGTTTTGACACTCTCGCCTTTGTAGCGCACACACACACACACTTGCTCAGAATTGTCTTATCGAATTTTGATGTGGAATGCATCTCACGTGCCAAAACACTCCAGTAAACCTGATCAGAGCGGAAGGAACGTGGAATTCGGAGCTGGCCCTTCTCATTCGAGTTGCATTGAACGTCAAATGAATGTCAAATAAAATATCGAAGCTACCATCGCCATAGCCAGGAAGCTACATCGCAGTTTTGAGTTGCGCCAACAACCCACCCGGTTCAAAACTAAAATGAAATTGTCGGACAAATACCGTGTAAATCACAGATTGCGGCAAACGTGCAAATGAAAATTCGTCTATCCGATCCGGTTCTGGGCTTGGCCGGTCGCCACATCAACGAAAGAAGATGAAACTGTCGAATTGATTTTGCAAGCTATGTCCACGACATCCATGTCAAGATCTGCAGGTACAGGCGAATGATCAATTCACCTTTCCCACATCATACCACAGCTTCGTTGCGTCAGGTAGGTATGACGGGCCTGACACCCCTGCAACAATGAAACAGTATATACAAGCTTTACATCTATTGAGATGGTACACACACATGCCCCGCAGCAGAGAGGCTTTTTTGGAAGATTGCACCAATGGCGGGCAACAAATGAGTGAATGAACAAGTCGGAGCCCTCAGACATTCCCGTAGTCACGCTACCATGTCGGGCAAGATAGTGGGAAAGGATTGCCAAGTGTCCAGCTAGCTGGGCCAAGCCTTCGTAGTTCAAGGATGCCGCTAACGAAGAGGACGCAGCATTCAAAGTTTCTAAAATAGAGGAATTGCCATCTGGCCTTTGAAGAAGAATGCCATGCAGCAAATGTGAACGGTGGGTGATCGGTTGAGGTACCTGAGAAGGAGCAGGTGCCTCGGCAGCAGGATCTGTGACTTGTGGGAGGGTGTCCTGCTGGGAATCATCGTAGTCATGGTATGGCCACTTGTTTTCCGCAATGTTGTAGTATCTTCGCCAGTAATTGGCCAGAGTAGCGGATTGGGCCCATCCATCGACACGTTGACCCTGCCGATCACGAACATGACCAACGATACCATGAAAGAACGCTTCAGGGGTCTTGATCTTCAGGTACCCCGCATCATCAAGTTCTTCAACCATCAATTCAGGAGCTTTGCGGCCGTACTCGAAGACCTTGAAAGTGGAAGTGTGAACTGTGCGTTCAGGATATTTATGGGGTTGCAGTTCAGAACGTGTTGTAAATTGTGGATGTGGAAAGGCAGATGCGTCTTCTGATACTGGCATAGGAGGATGTGTGCCGTAGAGGAGTACTCTGACATGGATTCCATAGGCGTATCGAAGCCTGATGCGAAGGCCATGCGAAGATCACGAAGCGAGGGAAGATTGGCAGCGACCGAGTCACGTTTGGTCATGATGAAAAGGCTAAGCCAAAGTTGCAAAAACATTATACCAGCGTTGACCCCAAACAGATGTAGAAATTTTCAATTATATTGTACATGCGAACCAAGGAACCCAGAGTGGGAGACAAGTGTGGGAGACAAGTGTGGGAGACAAGTGTGGGAGACAAGTGTGGGAGACAAGTGGGAGACAAGTGTAAACTCAGCCCAAAGAACCCAGAGTGGGAGACAAGTGTGGGAAACAAGAGTGGGAGACAAGTGTGGGAGACAAGTGTGGGAGACAAGTGTGGGAGACAAGTGTAAACTCATGCGCTCCCAGACATCCAGAGTGGGAGATACGTGTGGGAGAGGCCATTGATCTTCTGGTTGTCGTAATGGTCCCGGTCTTCCTGCCAGTGAGGATTGGGATCAAAGCCATATGTTCTGGTGGCCTCGTTGTTCCCAGGTCGGGAAGGTGGATTCGATTTTGGAGTGGCATTTGATCGAGGTTGAGAAGGAAAGATGGACGGAGTGCCTGGTGGGCAGGGTTGAGTTGGTGGACAAGATTGCGTGGATGGACATGGTTGTGGCGGATATGGCAGTGGGTGGAAGGGAGTTGTGTCATGGAAGTGGTGGAAACTGTTGAGACATCCAACTGGACGGTGGGTTTGGTGGTGGTTGTGACCACATCCTACCAGTCATGTAAGGTCCCGACGAGTTTCCTGACCAATTGGGCCGTTGCTGAGGTCGTGACATGTTCTGGAAATGCCGAACTGAAGCGCTCATAGGTCCACACCATCGAGGAAAGAACGGTAGAGCTGGAGCTGGTACTTGCCCACGAGGTTCAAGTCGATTGCGCAACGTCACGGGAGATCGGGAGCGATCAGACCCCGCCATGACGATACTCACAGGTGGCAATTAAAAGTAGCAAGCCGAGAAAAGATGAACCAAGTCACGTATCGGAAGCAATTGCCAACATTGAAAATTCTTGCTGCTGGATTCAAAAGAGGTAACATGCAATGGTGAAGAAACCAACAAAAACATTGACGCTGAAAAGACTGACAAGTCAAAGGAAAACAGCATGAAAAGAACCTAGTAAAAGCAAAAACCAAAACCGTATCAATCAGATTGAGACAACCGTGCAATTTTTTTTTGCCCGTATACCTGTCCAGGTTTCCCTAGACATGGATCAGCCGGTTTCCGGTCTGACAAATGGCTGAAGCGACATAACCTTAGTCCTCTCGTTGCATCAGGTGGTCCATGTTCCTGTTCCTGAGTGCGACGATTGATGGCCCTGTAAGTAAGATCGTCACTTGACGAGTTTTCATCCACGTCATCCATGGGCAAGTTTTGCCATTTCAAGGCCAAAAAAATGCAGTCCCACATGATTGCTATGAGCAATCGTGTACTTCTCTGACGTGGTTGCGATGCCTCTCTTGGCAACTGCTACCTGGGCGGTTTCATTGCCGCCTGCTTTGTAGCTGATGTGGCTGTCAGCTCTACGATATAAGGCACCGATCAATACTTTCTGTTGGCCTTTGCCCCGTTTCTGAGAGCTGTCCATTAACTCTCGTGAAGCCCAATCAGGGATTGAATTTTCCCGATTGATTTCTCGACCCAGATAGAACGCTCCAAAGGGCACATCTGACTTGCTAAGGTCCTTGTTGTAGGCCCAGTTGGCCGGGCGAATAAATCCTTCCAGCAAGATATTCTGTGCCGACTCCAGTGGAGTTCCGTGGATCAAGGCCCATGTGGTGTAGTGTTTCCCTTCGAAGGGTTCAGGCAATGAGAACCTGCAGATGGAAGAGGAAACACTAAGGCCAGCATATTTGTGACCCTCAATTCCATCAAATATGCCTTCGAAAGATCGATGTCGTCAATCAGGCGTGAGCCTGAGATTAAGTGTGCCGCAAGCTTGGCAGTTTCTAGTGGGACACGTCGATCGATGGAGCGAATGGCAGAGTAAGCTTTGTGGAACCGATCATGGTCAATGGTGAAGCACGGTTTTGGTTTCTCCTCTTCTGAAAGTTCGGATGCTGCCTTCATCCGATGTTTGTGGTTCAGGCCAAACTTGGCCCATTTTATCCATTCCTTCTTGTGATCATCCTTGAGAGAGATCTGAATGTGCCCTGCAGGGATGCTGGAGGATCCCCTTGATTGATACCCAGTGTCAGATCTGGGTTGGCGTTTCTTGGTCTTTTGATAATGCTGGTGGGAAGTGGAGAAGGCTGTAAGGGGCCTGGAGTCGAGCTGTGGAGCCGCAGAAGGCGCGCCGCCTGGCGGTATGAGTGGTGGGAATGGTCCTGGGAAGTTTGTTGATGGTAAGACTTGGCGTGAGAATAGGAACGTTGTTGAGGACGCCATGATGAATTGTCTTTCATTGGTGGATCGTTCCATTTGCTCCAGGCACCCCAGTCTGTCTTGCCATTGTGAGGAGTCCTGGTGTTGGGACTCACGATGGGAATAATCTTCATAAGCGGAGAGTTTCTCTTGCCATCGTGGAGGATCACGAGGTTCAGCAGGACGAGAGTAATGTCCATATGAGTGAAATCGGGCACGATCTTCACGATCAAAGTCGCGGCTCACGCTGCGACGACCAGAGGACACTGAGCGCAGGGTGACCGAACTGTCACATCCGTGTGGAGGAGATGGTTCACGTGAGCGATGGCGACGTGAACGTAGTGAACGTGGACGTCGACGAGCACTTCTGGGGACCGACAGGGGTCGTTTGTCGATCGGTGCTGATTCTTTGGGGCGACGAAGAGAGCGGGAACGTCGTGATGAGTGAGCCTGGTTTTGGATGTGGCTGGTGGAAGGTGGAAGGTGGCTGTCATTGAATGGAGGTGTGGTAGTAGGGAGGAGGTTGTGGGAGTTGCTGTGACTGACGCTCCTGGGCTTTGTCGACGGCAGCCGCTAGACTTTCTTGGAAAGTCGTTCATTTGGTTGAGCATCTCTTCAGGGTTGAATGTTGGTTGAGCAATTGGTGGGCTTTGTGGTGTCACCGTGAGAGGAGGTTGTTCAGGTGGACATGGCGCAGGTGACGCTGGCGGCGGATGATGTGGTGGAACTGAAGGTGGGGATGGTTGTGGAGTTGGTTGATGACGGGGCAACTGTTGAAGGTGTTGGACGTTGGATATGAGTCATGGATTGGTGGAGCTGTTGGTTCAACAGCGCGTTTTGATGTTGAAGTGCATTGATGTGAGCCTGGGTCTGAGCTTGGGACTGTTGATAACTGGGATCACCTCCACGAAATTGGCCCTGAGGAGCATTCGTCTGATGTGGTGTGGCGGATGGTGTGGGCCAACCAAGGTTCCACATCGAATCAGGAAAAGTGGGCCAGCGACCAGGAAACATGGCAACAGTTGACGTCAGGTAAAACGAAAAGTTCAACAGTTCCAAAAAAGATGCATTCACATATCATGCAATGTTCCTGATCAAGCTCTCAGGCCCTCCGTAGTCATGTCACAACCCTGTAAACGGCTTACGTGGTCAACCCTCGAATTACGTGCACATTTGAACCTCACCAGAAACCAAAAAAGAAGTATCACCACACCTGCAAGAATGTCCTTTGCCTTGTATCTCGAATGTCATGACATGAAAATGGCGACGGTCAGTCTCTTGAGTGATAACGAAGGAAGAATGTTAACGCGGCTTCAGGCTACTGGCAGCAGGAAACGATTCAGAAAAAGTGAGGCCAGTCACAGCGGCAAGCTGTTGTAACACACGACAAGCGACAGGCGAAACCCTGAAGTAAGGCCAGCTGTTTCACTTTACTTAAACAAATTACTAAGTTGAAAAATGATCGGGGTGCCAATTCATTATGTGAAGCTGTGCAGGAGTTTTAGAGCGGTCTAACTTTTGTGCATAGGCCTCAGGCTTTAAAATGCACAAAAACAATGAAAACTGGCTCTGCAATAAAATGCCTTGCCACCAAATTCATGCTTGAATGTGAATCCAACATCATCCAATTTCATCCAATTTTGAAGACCCTCAGAAACGCATCTTTAAAAAGAGGTCAGGAAATCCATTTTAGATAGGGGTATTTTAGAGTGAAGGTGCCCAATATTAAGTGTTTTTCTTTTTTATAGCATTTTATAGCAACAAAATACGGTGGCATTCTTTCGTGGCAATTCCTTAAAATTCCTTAAGAATCCTTTAAATTCCTTAAAATCAAAAAAAACTGCTTAAAATTCCTTAAATATCCTTTAAAATTAAAAACATTAAAGATCCTTAGAAACCCTCCGAATTCCTGCAAATTCCGTCAAATTCCTTTAAATTCCTTAAAATTCCTCTAAGATTCCTTAAAAATCCTTAAAACTCTCTAAATTCCTTAAATTTCCTTATAATTCCTTTAAAATTCCTTAATATTCCTTATAATTCCTTTAAAATTCCTTAATGTTCCTTAAAATTCCTTAGAATTCCTTCAAATTTTAAAATTCGCTGATCTAAAATGACATGCCCAATAAAATCGATATAAAAAGATCCTGGAAAAGCATTGGCTCCATTCTGCAATAAAATGCTGCAAGCAAACTTTTTTTTGCAGTAAAATGAGAATGGAATTTTAACACGTTAAAAATCATCAGGATTTACCTTTACAATAAAATGCTTAGCCCAACCCCCCAACAATAAAATGACTAGCCTGACATCAATTTTAAAATTCCAATACATTAAGAATTTCGTTTAAACTATGCACAGGTTCACCAGTTCTAGAGTGGAAATTGCCACGGGGATGAAAAATGTAAATTCAGAGATCAGGTCGAGGATTCACTCTCCTACCTAGAAAGGTATTCCCCGAAGGGTTCATGCCACCGTGACGAATCCAGCATGAATCACACACTTGCTCAGAACAATCTTTGCGAATTCTGATGTGAAATGCATCGTACTTGCAACAACAACAATTCAGTTCTACCTGACAGGAATGGGTCGGTGAAAAGACCTGAGAAAGTTCGAAAAGTTACCATCACCATTGCCAAAGCTAGATGCAATGAGTGTGAAGCTGACCCTTCCCTGCAATTGACAAAAAGAAATGCAGATTGCGACAACAGTGCAGTAAAAACAGGAAACCCTCCAAATAATCGACATGCCGTTTCTTGGCTTAGCCGGTTGCCATCAACGAGATATTGCAAAACTGAGATTGAAATGGCAGGTACGCTGGGTTGATCAGACCCAGTATCCCATGATTGTGGTAGCTTCGTTGAGTGCGGCCCCACAATCATGCAGCACTCTAAAATGGATATTGAAGTTGAAAACGGCATTGACAAAGCATCACGAAGAGAAAAACGAAAACCAAACGAACAGCAAAAATCGACATCATCAGGTAGATGTTTTGCATCTGTTCAGATGTTCCACACACACACACTTGTCCCTGTCTTATTCTACGAAGTTTGTCCTTAGAGTGGAGGACTGGCTTGCACCATCGTCTTTGCCGCTTACTTCTTCTCAGCCTAGTAACTAAAGCGGAGCCGAAATCGAAGCTTGTCCTCATCCAGAGCTGGCATCCAATGTATAGCAGCAGGATGCACCAGGCATTCAACAACCCATGCTTACGGCCAAAGCTTTGCCATAGTCGCGGCAATGCAACCAATGCTTCGTGAAGATCCCTGGAAAGCCCCTTTCAAGGAAAACGACCACCTGAAGCAACATGTTTGCAACCTTGGTGAGTCCAAGGCACCTATCAGAAGCGACAAAAAATCCTAGCTTTGCATGCTTAGTCAGACAATGGCTTCCCAAACAATTGTGAATGCAGTGAGTTCTTTAATGTGTTTTGCATGGTTGTGCTGCAATTCGTCAGAACCACAATAGGATACCAATGGATACCAGCTATAAACGGAATTTATGCTGTCTTCGTCCTTCTGGAAGCTAACACTGAGCCAGCTGGTTTAGCACATGACAACTTTGCGAGATCCGCCAAATCTGAACGAAAGCACTCATGTGCAAACAAGCTCTGGTTTGTTTACTCTCGGGTCGTGTCTGCTTCCCGCAAGCGAATAGCGGTCGATGAGATATCATTGCCTCGATGGCGTTTTAAAACAAATGAAGCTCGAGACCAAAGAAATCATCACCCTGAAGTACGCTGACATTCAATGTTGGACAAGGACATTAAGGTTGGCAAATTTGCGCGAAACGCTGTGGCTCCAACGAAAGTCCGGCAGTGACAGAAACATGTCCGAGAGCTCCTGGATACGGCCCAGACCCTTTTTGCCAAATTGCCCTGAAAAGAAACATACAATCTGTCTGTGTCTCTCTATCTGTGTCTGTGCCTGTGTCTGTGTCATTCTCTGTCTGTCTCTGTGTCTGTCTGTGTCTGTGTCATTCTGTGTCTGTCTCTGTCTCTGTCTCTGTCTCTGTCTGTCTGTCTCTGTCCGTCTGAGTCTGTGTCCGTCTGAGTCTGTGTCCGTCTCTGTCCGTTTCTGTCCGTCTCTGTCCGTCTCTGTCCGTCTCTGTCCGTCTCTGTCCGTCTGGGTCTTTGTCTCTGTGTCTCTGTCCGTCTGAGTCTGTGTCTCTGTGTCTCTGTGTGTCTGTCTGTTTGTCTGTTTGTCTGCCTGTGTGCCTGTCTGTGTTCAGCAGTGTCTGCCAGTCTGTCAGTCAGTCTGTCTGTCTGCCTGTCTGTCTGTGTGTGTGTGTCTGTGTGTGTGTCTGTCTGTGTCTGTCTGTGTCTGTCTGTCTCTGTCTGTCTGTGTGTGTCTGTATGTCTGTGTCTGTCTGTCTGCGTCTGTCTGTCTGCGTCTGTCTGTCTGGCTGGCTGGCTGTCTGGCTGTCTGGCTGTCTGGCTGTCTGGCTGTCTGGCTGTCTGGCTGTCTGGCTGTCTGGCTGTCTGGCTGTCTGCTGTCTGGCTGTCTGGCTGTCTGGATGTCTGGCTGGCTGGCTGTCTGTCTGTCGGTCGGTCGGTCAGTCGGTCGGTCGGTCTGTCTGTCTTTCTGCCAACCTGCCTGTCTGTCTGCCTGCGTGCCTGCCCTGCCTGCCCTGCCTGCCCTGCCTGCCCTGCCTGCCCTGCCTGCCCTGCCTGCCCTGCCTGCGCTGTCTGTCCTGTCTATCCTGTCTGTCCTGTCTATCCTGTCTGTCCTGTCTGTCCTGTCTGTCCTGTCTGTCCTGTCTGTCCTGTCTGTCCTGTCTGTCCTGTCTGTCCTGTCTGCCCTGTCTGTCCTGTCTGTCCTGTCCGTCCTGTCTGTCCTGTCTGTCCTGTCCGTCCTGTCCGTCCTGTCCGTCCTGTCTCTCCTGTCCTGTCTGTCCTGTCTGTCCTGTCCTGTCTCTCCTGTCTCTCCTGTCTCTCCTGTCTGTCCCTGTCCCTGTCTGTAAATGTCTGTCTCTGTCTGTCTCTGTCTGTCTCTGTCTGTCCCTGTCTGTCTCTGTCTGCCTCTGTCTGTCTATGTTTGTCTCTGTCTGTCTCTGTCTCTCTCTGTCTGTCTCTGTCTGTCTCTGTCTCTCTCTGTCTGTCTCTGTCTGGCTGTCTGGCTGTCTGTCTGGCTGTCTGTCTGGCTGTCTGGCTGTCTGGCTGTCTGTCTGCCTGTCTGTCTGCCTGTCTGGGGTCTGTCTCTGGTGTCTGTCTCTGGGGCCTGTCTCTGGGGTCTGTCTCTGGTCTGTCCTGTCTGTCGTGTCTGTCTTGTCTGTCTGGTTGGTCTGTCTGTCTTGTCTGTCTGGTCTGTCTGGTCTGTCTGGTTGGTCTGTCTGGTCTTTCCTGGCCTGGCCTGGCCCGTATGCATGCATGCATGCATGCATGTATGTATGTATGTATGTGTGCATCTATGTATGTATGTATGTATGTATGCATGCATGTATGTATGTATGTATTTATGTATGTATGTATGTATGCTTGTTTGTGTGTATGTGCGTATGTGCGTATGCGCGTATGCGCGTATGTGCGTATGTGCGTATGTGCGTATGTATGTATGTATGTATGTATGTATGTGTGTATGCATGCATGCATGCATGTATGTATGGATGGATTTATGTATGTATGTGTGTGTGCCTGTATGTATGTATGTATGTATGTATGCATGTATGTACGTACGTACGTACGTATGGGTGGATGGATGGATGGATGGATGGATGGATGGATGCATGCATGTATGTATGTATGTACATGTCTGTGTTTTTTTCATAGGTGTGCATATGTGCATTCATATGTTTGCGTATATATATACAGTATGGCTATGCAATTGCAAATATGGATAGGTCCCATGCCAGCCCGTCCTGGGGCAAATCCATCACAGGGTCGGCTTCCAATGTTCTGAAAATGTCAGCATCAACGCCTTTTGCAGCAACTGAACTTTCTCTTTCACTTTGCCGGATCTCTCTGCTTCACATGGTTGAAGCAGGCGCTTGACTGAAACACATTGAAAAGGAATCAGGAAACTTACACAAGCCTAGAACTACGCCCACCTTGGAATTGACGAATTAGGGGTGCAAGCTTGGTGTACCTACTTTATGGATATGATATATCAAAATAATTCAAAATAAATGTTTGGCACGGCCAACGTCATGAACCTGGGAAGCAGGAGCACCACTAGACGATGGTTGGCCCGAGAGCGAGTAGGTGTATAGGTACTCAGATGTGTTATGTAGTTGTACGATTTGCACATGCCAAAGACTTGCATGAATATGTTCATGAGAACGTTACTTGAGATCATGTGAATACGTTCATTATGTGTAGATGTCAAGATAAGAAGATGTGAAGATGTCAGGGTTTTAGTTGCAAGAGACAGAAAAGGTATGCTGTATAGAAGGTTTTGGAAGATGTGAAAAAGACAAACATACAGATATGCTGATAGGCTCTCAAGCACAAACACACTCAGATAAACATGTTTACACATATATACACAGACACACATACACACACAAACCCACACACACACAGCAGCTTTTACACACAGAAGCTTTTACACACAGAAGCCTCTACACACAAAAACTTTTACACACAGAAGCTTTTACACACAAACACTTTTACACACAAAAGCTTTTACACACAGAAGCTTTTACACACAGAAGCTTTTACATACAGAAGCTTTTGCACACAGACGCTTTTACACACAGAAGCTTTTACACACAGAACCTTTTACACACAAAACCTTTTACACACAGAAGCTTTTTACACACAGACGCTTTTGCACACAGAAGCTTTTACACACAGGAGCTTTTACATTACACACAGAACCTTCTACACAGAGAACCGTTTTACACGCAGACACTTTTGCACACAGAAGCTTTTACACACAGGAGCTTTTACACACAGACTCTTTTACGCACAGAAGCTTTTACACACAGACGCTTTTACCCACAGAAGCTTTTACACACAGGAGCTTTTACACACAGACACTTTTACACACAGACGCTTTTACACACAGAAGCTTTTACACACAGACGCTTTTACACACAGAAGCATTTACACACAGAAGCTTTACACACAGACGCTTTTATACAGAAACTTTTACACACAGAAGCTTTTACACACAGACGCCTTACACAAAAGCTTTTATACACAGAAGCTTTACACACAAACACTTTTACACGCACAAGTTATTACACACAGACGCTTTTACACACATGCGCTTTTACACACAAAAGCTTTTACACACAGAAGCTTTTACACACAGAAGCTTTTACACACAGAAGCTTTTACACACAGACGCTTTTACACAGAAACTTTTACACACAGAAGCTTTTACACACAGACGCTTTTACACACAGAAGCTTTTACACACAGAAGCTTTTACATACAGAAGCTTTTGCACACAGACGCTTTTACACACAGATTTTTTTTACACACAGACGCTTTTACACACAGAAGCTTTTACACACAGGAGCTTTTACACACAGACGCTTTTACACAGAAACTTTTACACACAGAAGCTTTTACACACAGAACCTTTTACACACAGACACTTTTACACACACAAGTTATTACACACAGACGCTTTTACACACAGAAGCTATTACACACAGATTTTTTTTACACACAGACTCTTTTACACACAGAAGCTTTTACACACAGAAGCTTTTACACACAGACGCTTTTACACACAGAAGCATTTACACACAGAAGCTTTACACACAGACGCTTTTACACACAGAAGCTTTTACACACAGAAGCTTTTACACACAGACGCTTTTACACACAGAAGCTTTTGTACACAGAAGCTTTTACACACAGACACTTTTACACGCACAAGTTCTTACACACAGACGCTTTTACACACAGACGCTTTTACACACAGACGCTTTTACACACAGAAGCTTTTACACGCAGAAGCTTTCTACACACAGACGCTTTAACACACAGACACTTTTACACACAGAAGATTCTACACACAGAAGCTTTTACACACAGACGCTTTTACACACAGAAGCTTTTACACGCAGAACCTTCTACACAGAGAAGCTTTTTACACGCAGACGCTTTTGCACACAGAAGCTTTTACACACAGGAGCTTTTACACACAGACTCTTTTACACACAAAAGCTTTTACACACAGACGCTTTTACCTACAGAAGCTTTTACACACAGGAGCTTTTACACACAGACGCTATTACACACAGACGCTTTTACACACAGACACTTTTTACACACAGATTTACCATTTTACCGCACTTTTCGACGATCAAACCTCATTTCGTGCAAAAGCGTTGCGTTGGACCCGTGAAAATCGCAATTTAACCACAGTTTTCGACGA